CAGCCTTACGAGACAGCACCGGATGTGACGTCGGTAAGCGGTATGTTGCTGGCCACATCAAAGGGAAGCTACTGGGCCACGCCCTGTTATCGCAATATTTACCGTCTGTTTGGAATAATCGATAACTGGTGATGTTGTGTTGTCATGGCCTAACTCACGGGAACAAAGGCCATTGTACAGCGTCATAAGTAGATCTACTTGATACGTTTACCGTACATCTGTATCTTTATACTGACGTATTGAGGACACGCTTCTTTATTTCAGGCATGTATTAGACAGAACGGAAAGTATGATCAGTCCATATTTAATATATTGATAATTGTCACCTAATCACTAAAGGGTATAATCGATCCAACTGGATATTCAGGGGGAAAAAAACTGTTTGTCGACAGAACAAAGAAATTAGTTTCATGAAGTGGTGGATGTAGCAACCTAATATCATCTCAAATGGCGAATATATTTTACGCAAAAAAAAGAATTATGTAATCAAAGGCAGAGTTACACGCCCACACTCTTTAATAACACCATGTTGCACAAAGTTAAACGACCCCTCTCCCACTTCATGTTGTATTAGTATATTAGGATTAGCGCAAGCCTTAGTAGTTAGGATTAGCACAAACTTAGTAGTTAGGATTAGCGCAAAACTTAGTAGTTAGGATTAGCGCAAAACTTAGTAGTTAGGATTAGCGCAAAACTTAGTAGTTAGGATTAGCGCAAAACTTAGTAGTTAGGATTAGCGCTAAGGGTAAATTATTCATTGTGTTTGATTGTAAAGGGGTGAGTAAATATTGACACAAACAAAAGTTAGCTGTTGTAGTTATAAAAAGTAAAGAACTAGCTATCCAAAGGGCAGATGAAGTAGAGTTTCACATGTTTCTTGACCTTGGCATGTGAATGGATGGTGTGGTCAGAACAAATTATTTTCTCACAAACCGAGTATGGTACCCATTAGAGCTGGGTGGACTCAGGAGATCCGAACTTTAAAAATCGAAATGAATTTTGAGTTTTCTTTTTTTTAACTGACTGGCGTTTGTTTTATTCCGCATCGATACTTTACTTGCCTCACCCCCCCCCCTTCTCGCCTGCCCATTTCTAACTCACATAAAGCCAAATCCAGTATATATAGATCTGTTTTGTTCCCTGTATGATTCGTATAGCGATGTATGGACCATAAAACCAGCTTTGCCAAGTCTGTTATAGAGTTATAGAAGGATGTGAAAACCAATAGATCAATGATGACAAAAAAACTAAGCCAATGGTTTTTAGTACAAACCGTCTTTTCTTAAAACGTATCTATCATAAAATTGCCTATCCGAAGCCCACCTATCCAAAACCTACCTATCCAAAGCCCACTTATCCAAAACCTACCTATCCAAAGCCCACCTGTCCAAAAGCCTACCCATCCAAAACCTACCTATCCAAAACCTACCTATCCAAAACCTACCTATCCAAAACCTACCTATCCAAAACCTACCTATCCAAAACCTACCTATCCAAAAACCTACCTATCCAAAACCTACTTATCCAAAGCATACCTATTCGTCGATCCCATAACCTTCCTATATTACACCCAACATATCCCAATAATCCTCTGGTACCAAAACGTTCCTATCCCACGATTTTCTTACACAAAAGGTTGACCTGACGACCCACTACCGTCGTATTCCGCTAGCTTCCAATCGATAAAAGCCCTTACCCATAACATACATTTTCAGGGGGGAGTGGGGGGGAGGGGGACACTTTAAAGTATATATTGTCTATATAAATTCTATTTCGTTTCGGGTGTGGGGGTGGGTGGGGGGAGCTGAGATGCTTGAAAGAAACTCTAATGATATTCTGGATTCTTCATTCGTACAATATCATATTTTTCATCTTTCATTCTAAAATTCATCATCTACCAGTCCTTGCATTCAATACAGTTCCGATCCCAAATCATACAGCTGAATGCATCAGCTTCTATCCGTCTACTCCCTTACCCTCTTGTTCACGTTGTGTTGACAGATGGTCCGGAGGAGGCTGCGAGAGCGTGCCGACAACAAGACTTCCGCATGCCGGAACTTGCATGTGTTGCATAGGTCAAGGCCACACTACCTCAACATCTACGTCAGCAGGGAGCATCGTCTGCTGTACTGCGGCGTTGAAAAAGTAGGTCAAGGTTGATGTAAGGGTTGATGTAAGGGTTGATGTAAGGGTTGATGTAAGGGTTAATGTAAGGGTTGATGTAAGGGTTGATGTAAGGGTTGATGTAAGGTTGATGTATGGGTTGATTTAAGGGTTGATGTAAGGGTTGATGTAAGGGTTGATGAATGGTTTGATTCCAAACCCTCTGGCAGATATGGCTCGATCCCCTCCAACATTAAAAATTAAGAACGAAGAAAAAGAAGAAGTGTTTGGCTATAACAACAAAGTACTCGGATAATGGGATCGAGTGAGGTATAAAGAGTGGTCGAAGGTTGGCCTAATAAGTCAACATCAGGCCTGTTTATGGGATCTTTTTGGTTAGGGCAGACCTGTTTATCTGATCTATATGATTAAAACAGGGTTGGTTATGTGATCTTGAATGGTTGTGTATATCTCACTATTTTTTTGAGAGGATTAATTTTCTGAAAATGCTATCTCTTTTTTACAACATGCAGTATAAAATTTGTTAAGGCAAACATTCTATTTTTTTTTTAGTAGGCCTACAACAAATTTGAGAACTTTATGAAAAGGTTCTAGGTTATATAGAATTCGGTTCTCAGTGTTGTAACTAAATATATTGCGTCATATATTTTACGCCACAGTTTGGATTAGAGGGAAAACAACGAGTATCTTGACTGAAATATAGCCTTTTAGCTTTATGATGTATGTCCAGGATAGTCGATTACGTAGATTTATAATTTTTTTACTATATCTCTCCTTCTAGTTATCTTAGCTTTCTAAACTTAATCTTAACCATTTTACTGTCCTCTTTGTTTTCATGATTCTAAACCTAACTGTTATAACTTCATCAGTATATTTGGTACATGGTTTGATGCCGTTGATGACTTCAGTGAGAGATTAACCAGTTGTGTGGTGAATTAGACACCTCAACAGTAGATTACTTGATTGTTAAAGAAGACACCAACACAATCTCAACTCAGCAACATTCATTTAATGGATGGTGAAACTAGACACTACATGGTAGTGTTGCATGGTCTAAAGAAGAGGAAAACTTGCTCATCAACAGCCTTAGGGACAGTGGCGTAGCGAGGTCGGGTGTCACCCGGTGCGGCACTTGATGGTGTCACCCCCCAGAGGCGTAGTGACCCTTCCCGGGGACAAGCTTTCAAATTTTCGATTTGCACCCCCCTCAAACTTTCGATTTGCCCCCCCCCCCCTCAAGTTTTTCTCTATATATTTTGCTATTTTTTGCCTTGGTGTCACCCCCTAAATGGTGTCACCCGGTGCGGTCCGCACCCCCCCCCCCTCGCTACGCCTCTGCTTAGGGGCCAGCCCTACCACATCTTAAAACACAAAACACGTCTACATCCTCACAAGGCCAACGTTCAACTCTCCTAATTCATTCTCCCGGCCCCAGCTTCACCCTCAGGAACCTTAACACCTGCCTGATGCCGGCAGTCCAGCGAGGGGTGGCAACCCTTGCCTGCACATAGCTAGGAGGGACGGGGATGGCTTCCTATCAGTTACAGCCTGTCCCAGTTCTGGAGACGGAGGGGGGGATAACCCACTAGCATCAACAATGGACTAAGTTATAGGGCTGGTAAGTAGGTCACCAACCAGTTCTATGGCTCATGGATTGTTTATTGAGCCGTAGAACAATTTGGTGACCTACTTACCAGCCCTATAACACTAACCACACTGAAGGCTTTCTAATTTCGACACTAAATAGTACGACGTTTGAAGAACTCAAATAACAAGTTACAATTTGACCATTTATTTATTTCTTCAAGGTCGGATCCTCGTTCTGGAAGCGCGCGTTCAAGGTCATGAACAAGCCTGTGAGTAAACGCCTGGGGATATTTGACATGACGAGCATGAGTGCACATGTGGAGTAAGTGGGGGGACGGGACAGTATGTGTCTTCAAATATGTATAAATTGGTATATGAATACATATACGTACATATAAACAGGACCACGAGATCCAATAGAGCAGACAGCAGACAACATCATGCGAAAACATAATGGTATGGGGGGAGGTGTGGGGAAACAAAGTTCCATTAAAATGTTTATTAAATTTGTCGCAGTGGGGGAAAAAACTTCACTTTTGCTGACCAAAGTTTATTTCAGGCATCTCATTGGAGAGAGGGAGGGGGGGGGGGCGTTATTGTCCGCCCTCTAACGAAACAGAATGTATCAATTATACACTTAAACAAGTGTCCTTCCTCTACTTCAATTCGATTTGGCTCGGGAGGGAGGAAGGGGAGCAGTACGTCCATCGCCATCACCCGCCTTCATTTGACCTGTAGAACTACCATGTAGCGGCGATTGTTGATAGTGTAGCAAACTCATAACATCTACCACACTACCCTTCATGCGCATGTGTTTGTGTGTGTGTGAGTGCGTGCGTGCGTGCGTGCGTGCGTGCGTGTGTGTGTGTGTGTGTGTGTGTGTGTGTTAAATACATATATACATATATGAATAAAGTCTGTATATATATTTTCCAGTATTCCCAACTCCATGAAGCTGACTAACTATACTAAAGAGGAACAGATGGAGATGTTGAGAACCTTCCAGACGTTTATGTTCACACGAGATCCGTTCTCCCACCTGTTCTCGGCGTGGCTGGACAAGTTCTTCCTGCCCAGCACCATCGCTGCTCACAACATCGCCACCATCCGCCGTCTGTAGGTCACGTGGGTTGGCCCGGGTTTACACTGTGGGAGGGGAGGGGGTACCAGAAACATGCACAGACGGAAAAATGCGCTAACGGAAAATTGCGCAAATAAGAACTAATTATACTTATAATCTTTAATTTTGTCATGTTTTTTGGAAAAGTGTTTTTATTAAGCTACAATATACATGTGGTCATTTTTTTTTGTTAAAGTCTATAAATGCATAATTTAAGAAAACAAAAATGCTCTTTCGCACATTTTTTGTGCGCAGTTTTCCGTTGCGCATCTTTCCGGTTGTTAGCTTTTAAGAAGCGTTGGCATAGTTTTAAGGTTTTAAAGTGTTGTTGACAAGGATTTTTGGTATGAATGAAGGGGTGAGGAAAGTAGTTTTCTAAGTAATGAAAGGGCATTTGTAGTTGTTTATTTTATTTAGGTTTTTTCAAGTTTCATTTATAGGATTTTCAGGCTTTAAAGATGGTTGAAAGGGTTTTAATGCCTAAAGGGTGGTTTTCAGTGTTTTAGCTGCTGAGTGGAGGGGGTGTATTTTGCTTTAAGATGTTTCTTTTTTTGCTGCACGTTCCATCTGATAAAAAATTCCCAGCACGCCTACGCCACACCCCACCCACCCTTCTTCCACCCGCATTGTATTCTATTACCCCTCCGTCAAAGCATACAATTTCAAATATTTGAATTTGAAAAGTCATTATATTTGTCTCCCTTTCCTTCTACTCAACTTCTTTGCTTGATCCATGTTCTGTATATCTTTAGTTACTCCCTTAAACTTTTATACAGCGGAAAATAGCCAATTAGAACATCAGGTTGTTTTTACTACATGTGTTTAAAAAATGTAACAAGGTTTATGTACGTACCGTACCATGATGATACTCAATGACAAAGGGAGATAACCTCGCCTGTTACTATTTATAGCTCGGGTTACCGGAGCCGGGCGGAAAACTGCGAGCAGAGGTTGACCTTCGATGACCTCTGCAGGTACGTCGGCCACGCCTACAGGAAAGGGTTGGTGATCGACGTCCACTTGACAGCCATCCACAAGCACTGCGACCTCTGCAACATCAACTACACACTCATCGGCAAGATGGAGACCTTCATGCAAGACTCAAGGTCAAGGTTATTTACAACCTTAACGATTTCTTATAGAGCCTTAGCCTGATGCTAGTTAACAAATTTTTTTTTAATGTAGTTACAGGTTACTCGTTGCGATTCGTAACGAAATTTCGTAAATTTTGTTTTTCATATTTTGTTCATCTTATTAACGAAACGAAAATTGAACATACGCTACGAACGAATAAAACAGCGCCAAATGATCGAGGACATTACGCATCCCCCCCCCCCATTTCCCAGAGTCACCGCCGCTGTCAATTACCCTCTGGGTAATTATCCCCCACCCCCTATTCAGGCTGAAGAACCCTGACCTTAATCCTAACCCCAAACCCCAACCATAGACCTATAGCTAACCCTATGCCCAACATCAATCGAAATCCTAACTATAAACCTTCAACTAACCCTAACCTAACCCTTACCCTAACCCTAAACTAACCCTTACTCTAACCATAACACCACACTTCTAACTTATCCCTAAACGGGATGGGGGGGGGGGGGGGGGGGGGGGTAATGTCATATTGTGTTGTAGACCACGTCCCAAAGCTCACCTCGATCGATGTATATTTTCCAGAAGCATTAAGCTCGTGACTTCTTGACCTTGACCTTTATCCTGTCAACAGAGAGATCCTGAGCCTGGTCGGGCTGGAGATGAGGAACATTTCCGGTGCCGGTGCCAGAGATCTGGTGAGGGCAAACGAGGTCAAGGTCATGTCCGACATCATCAGCCGGACCTACGGGTTCCTGACCAGCAGGTAAGTCAGGACCTTGTCATACATGACTGACTGGACCAACTGACCAAAACAGGTAAGTCAGGACCTTGTCATGGATGACTGACTGGATGGGCAGGTAAGTCAGGACCTTGTCATACATGACTGACTGGACCTACTGACCAAAACAGGTAAGTCAGGACCTTGTCATGGATGACTGACTGGATGGGCAGGTAAGTCAGGACCTTGTCATACATGACTGACTGGACCTTCAGGTAAATCAGGACTTTGTCATACAATATTGACTGGACCAACTGACCAGCAGGTACGTCAGGACCTTGACATACTTGACTGACTTGACTGACTAACAATGTTATGTGTACGTGTACATTCACCTGTTCGTATACCATTCCGTGTAAGCTTAAGCGTACGAGTGCGTCTACGTGTATGTGTATGTGTACGCATCAACAAGCTTCTTCCGTTCCTAACTGTGACCTTGACCCTTCGACAGCCCATTCATCTGCATGCCGATGTACGAAGGCCTCAGAAGACTCTGGACGGTGTTCCAGGCACAAGGCTACATCTCCAGGCACATCCCCTACCCCAAGCATCTCCACAACCACACCCACATCCCAGAGAACGAGTTTAAGACAGCCGCCTTCCGGGCATACGACGACTCGGGCCCACCGGAAGTACGTCATCAGCAGAGAGAGGAAGCCATGTTTGAGGCCTACTCCACTGTCTCATCAGACACCATTTCACTTTTGGAAACTGTGTTCGAGCCGGATTGTTTAATGTTTGGTTATTCGTGTAATCTGACGGAGAAACTAATAAAAAGAAAATTCACGGATCCGGTTTATTTTGCCGGCTTCGATTGGCAGCCGGTTAATGGAAGAAAGTCAACAGCAAAGAAGGATTATTAGGTCTTTTTTATCTAAAACACCACCTGCTTGAAAGAGATGGGTTTTGTTTTGTTAGTGTAAAAACTTAAGTAGCCTAAGAGGTGGTTTTTATTTCTGTTGGTGTCATTGTTAGGTGGTTCGGGGTTGGGTTGTTGTCAGGGGTTTAGTCTGCGTTAGGGTCAGGATTAATGGCAGCGATTAACTTTACGATCAGTGTGAAGGTCTTATTTTGGTTACAACTAGAGTTATAATGGGTAGTGGATAACGTGAGTGTTAGGGCCTTGGCGTCACTAGGTCGGGTGTCACCCGGTGCGGTAACTGAGAGTGTTACCCCCCCCCCCCCCCTCCTTCAATGTTGTATTTAGATATCACCCCTCTGCCTTACTATTATAATTACTATGACTTGATATAACATTAGTTTAACGGTAGATTTTACAATTTTTCGATTTAGTGTCACCCCTAAAATGGGTGTCATTTGAGGCAGAACGCAACCTTTAACTTAACAACCAAAGCAAATGCACGCTTATGTTGGAGCATTTCAAGACTTGTTGTCATTTTATCTTTTTTATTTTATTTTAAGATTTAGCCGCGGGCTACAGATGCTCCAATTTCGTCTGTTTGGTTTCTTTGCCTTGTGTACATTGATAGAGCTGATTCAGCTTTTATAATAGACAGGAATTATTTTTCAGCAATTAAAAAATATGTATAAAAATATATGTATACATAATAATTGGGTGAAAAAAATGAAATTATAAAAATGATTTGTGTTGAACTAAAAGTTTGCACTGTGAAAATTGTCTTTTGTGATTCTTAGATGTATTTCTTTTTATATAAAAGATAAATTTTTATTGTTCTTCGGTTCATTGCCTCCCCTTAAGCGTGTGTACTTGGTTGCTTCCCCTTCGACTTGTGTACTTGGTTGTGTGTTTGAACTACGTGTTCTTAAACAGAATTCTGATATAACTACTATTATCTTTAAGTTTTAATTTGGTAATCTTTATTTTTTTTAAATTAATTCAGATTAATTTTGAAGACGGCATAACCTCAAAAGTTTTAGGCCTTCGAGCCCATGTTGAATTACCCTATCCCTACTCTATCTAGATGCGAAGTGCTATGACCGTAGGGCCAGCGCTACCTATGTGAAGGCGCAAAAAATGTGAAGTCTCCAATAGTAAAAAGTACCTAATAATTTTGATTATATTATATAATCTTATATATATATAATAATAATATAAAAAGCTGATTACTCAGTTATATACAGTCGAAATAAAGATTATTGACTGCTACTTGACATTACGGACTTATTTAACTGTTTTCTACATCAATTGTGGACATAAAAAAGTGACAGGTAACCCCCCCCCCCCTCCACCGTCCTACATAGTGAGGGAGCTTGGGGGCGCATTTTCACAAACTCGAGTATATATATAGGCCTAATTTTAAGATGGGGTGCACAATTGATAGTTCGTCCTGGGCACCGTATCGATAGCCATGCCTTTGTTTATTACCTTGTCTAAAGCTTATATATATATATATATATATATATATATATATATATATATATATATATATATATATATATATATATATATATATATATATATATATGGTGGTTAAAATAAACAATAAAATTTTCGGGGGGGGGGGGGTTATATTCAGTTTTGCCTATGGTGCTAAATAACCTTGCACCGGCACTGCACAGGTCCTACCTCTTTGCAAGTTTGAGCAAATACTTGCAAATAACTGCAAGACCACAGTTTTGTGAGTGGTCCTGGCAATTATTTTTTTAAATTTAGCAAACACTATTAGTTTTAATTGTGATTAGTAGAGTCAGGGTGTTGTGGTGAATGGGGATGTTATATTGTTTAATATAAATACAATACTAAGCTATTATGTATATTTATCATGGAAAGCAATTGTTCTGACTTTTATTATTTTTCAAGTTGAGGTTGAGGACAGTTTTTAAAAATATTTGAACTGATAAAATAATTCTAAACGGTTTTTTTTAACGGCTTATGTTTGATACAATCTATGGTTCCCAAACGGCTTTAATTTTTACAAATGTAACTATAATTTCACCAATTTTTATGCCTTAGAACAGGGGTTCCCAACCTTTTTTTTACTCTAGAGCACATTCTAAAATATCGGTAGGGTGGCGGGCACCACCTATTTTAAATCGGCAACTCCTCCCAGAGGCGTAGCGACCCTTCCCGTCACCCGGGGACAAAACTTTCGATTTGCACCCCCTCCCTCAAACTTTCGATTCGCACCCCCCCCCCCCTCAAATTTTTGATTTGCACACCCCCCCCCCCTCAAATTTTCGATTTGCACCCCCCCTCCCCCTCAAATTTTCGATTTGCACCCTCCCCCCTCTCAAACTTTCGATTTCCATCCCCTTCAACCTTTCAATAATGTTTATGAAAAAAATTCTGTCTCTGTCGAATAGTGATAGGCGGGCACATACGAATCGTTCGGCGGGCGCCATGGCGCCCGCGGGCACGGGGTTGGGAACCCCTGCCATAGAAAGTGAAAACTTCCACTTTATTATTGAAACTATATTAGTAGGTCAACTTATTCAAGGGAAGCAACGTTTGGTTTAATTCTTAAAGTACATTTGTCAGCAAAGAATTTTTTTTAAATAAAACCTAATTGACTATTGACAATAGTTCTATAAATTTTTTTTATAAAATAATATTGCTTTATATAATTGTATGAAAAACAATTTTATAAATTAAAATCAATTAATTCCTAATTTAAATTTTCAATTTGAAACCATTAGCGCTATTTAATTTAAAATTTAAGAAGTTAGTGAGCTTTGACTGAAATCATCAATACATCATGATAACTTACATCTTATGGAAGCTGTATTTTATTCTTATTACGCTTTATACTCTTATAAAAAATGGTATTTTCTAATGAAGCTGTAGAGTTTTCTACATTAAAGTACCAGAATGGTTGCAAAATGCCATGTGCTGCATCAAGTATTTTTCATGCTCCTGTTATAACTGCTAAAGTTCTTTAAAATTCATAAGCCTTGAAGAAAACATTGCGGCTACAATTGAACATCAAAAATGCTGATTATGCCCCTGGTGATGCAGTTTCTATAATTTGTCCCAACAACTCAAGTGAGGTTGATCTTCTTTTAGAAAGAATTGGGAGGGTTAATCATGCAGATGAAAAATTAACACTTTCTGTTATACCAAACAAGACAATGCGATGCACTGCAAAGCACTACATAGTACGATGTTTACTTTTATGGTTCCAAAATCTATAGCGATTACGGACTGACACACTACTTGCCCGCTTATATTATAGATACTTCAAAGCTGCGAGCTGCTGTACCATCTCATATACATGTCACTTCTACTTTAAGGCACATTTTTACTACTTGTTTAAATATTCAAGAACCCCCTAGCAAGGCATTAATAAGAACCCTCGCAGAAAGCACTTCGAATCCTATTGAAGTAAGAAGAATGCAAGAGTTGTGTAGTAAAGAGAGTAGCTCACAATATACAGAATATGTTCGAGGATATCAGATTTCTTTACTTGATATATTGTATGCTTTTCTTTCCATCTTGCTACCCACCTGTGGAGAGATTATTAGAACATCCAGTGGCGTAGGCAGGGGGGGTTAGGGGGGGTCATAACCCCCCCCCCCCATAGACCCCTCGGTATATATATAAAGTATGAGGGGGGTGCAAATCGAAAGTTTGAGGGGGGGGGGGGGTGCAAATCGAAAGTTTGATGGAGGGGGGTGAAAATCGAAAGTTTGAGGGGGGGTGCAAATCGAAAGTTTGTACCCGGGTAAAAATTGTAAACCCCCCCCCCCCCCCCTTAAGACCATCTTGGCTACGCCACTGAGAACATCTACCTGGTTTGCAACCCAGACCCTAATCTATTTATAGTTGTCCAGAGACTAGCCCTGATCAACTTGATATTGTTTTTAATGTGGTTGAAATAAATTATAACCTGGAGAAAGGGCACCATTATAAGAGACGTGGTGTTTGCACTGGATGGCTGGATGATATAACCTCTTGCATGCAGTTTGAAAAAAAATGCTGTTCAGCTCATAAAGATACCCATATTCATTAGGACAAATCAGAATTTTCGACTTCCTGAAGATCTCTCAAAACCTCTAGTGATGATTGGCCCAGGCAGGGGCGTAGCGAGGGGGGGGGGGGCGGGGGGTGCGGACCGCACTGGGTGACACCATTTAAGGGGGTGAAACCAAGGCAAAAAATAGCAAAATATATATAGAAAAACTTGAGGAGGGGGTGCAAATCGAAAGTGTGAGGGGGGTGCAAATCGAAAGTTTGAGGGGGGGTGCAAATCGAAAATTTGAGGGGGGGGGGTGCAAATCGAAAATTTGAAAGTTTGTCCCCGGGAAGGGTCGCTACGCCTCTGTTGGGGTGACACCATTAAGTGCCGCACCGGGTGACACCCGACCTCGCTACGCCACTGGGCCCAGGTACTAGTGTGGCCCCATGCCTAGGTTTTTTACAACAGAGAAATGCTAAAAGAAAAACAGTGGATCAGTATGGACAAACTTGGTTGTTTTTTTGGCTGTAGGAATAAAAGCCTTGATTTTATTTTCAAGGAAGAATTAGAGATATTTGAAAGAGACGAAATACTGCCAAAATTACATAGTTCCTACTCACGTGACCCATCACTTCCCTTGGATGCAAATTCTTGTTATGTGCAAGACAAAATGCGTCAACTTGCCCCCGAACTCTGTCGTCTGCTTGTTGAATCAAATGCATTAGTGTATGTGTGTGGTGATGCAAAGAATATGGCCAAGAATGTTAATGATGCTTTTGAGGAAATTTTGCAGAAGGAAAAAGGTATGTCCTCCGAGGATGGACACCTATCTGTGATGAAAAAGAGGATCAACAAAACGTATTTAGAAGATGTCTGGGTTTAAACAGTTTCAGTCAACTGAGACCAGAGTTTCTTCCAGGCATCTCTTCGAAGCCCCCCCCCCCCCCCCCCGAAAAAATTTTACCGCCCCCCCCCCCCCCCCCGAA